GAATATAATTACGTGCCAACTTTTGCAATATAATGCCCTAATGGATATACTCGAACTTTTACGTAAAGATAAACTCTGCAATAAATTTTGATGTCTTGAATATTTATTAAATTATTTAATTTTAATTTAATAGGCGCGAGTAGGGGTGGGGGAGGGGGCTACAGAATCAATTATAAAATTTATATATATATAGGCCTACTGTATAATGTAATAAAAAAAATGAATCGTAAAGACATAGATCCCATATTAAATTGGTATTAGGTTATCACATGTACATTTAGAAAAATATAAAATTGAAAAAACAACACTTAATTAGATTTCAATCGCTTATAAAATTTTAGCACTTGCAATTTATTTTACTATCATGTTACATGTACATGTATATATTTACATTTGCAAATGTTTTCCTTTATATAATACTACTGAAAGCAAGCGTTTTTATAACTGTATAAATACAGGTACGGGGTCAAGAGGTCATAGATGTTCGTATGGATAAACGTTCGACGTAATTTCTCAGTGACGTCATAGAGGGTCGACGCGCGTTTAGTTGATTACATACATGCCGTTGGGTTTGAAAAATAATGCATTTCACACGTTAAAAGTCACAATCAAGCAAATATAAAGTATGAATAAGTCACAAATGTAAATATAAGTAATAAGGTATAATTTTTTGAGTTTTATTGGGATGTAAAACGGGTTCACACATGATCAAATCTTCCATAAAGCCCTTTGGGCTTTATGGGATTTGATCACGTCACCAACCCGTTTTACATCCAAATAAAAGTCAAAAAATGATACCTTATTTCTTAAATGAATCCTGCACGAACATGTACTTTTTTACGGAATTGAAAAAAAAATATATTGCGAAATTTTATTTGTCACGTAAAAATGACAGGGTTTCTTTACAAAGGCATTTTTATAAAAATACCGCACACTTTTTTCCTGAGCCACATGACGTCATAAAATACTTGACGCGATGTATATATAGAAAATTACGTCATAATTTGGAAACGCAAAAAGAATATGCACTTCCTGCATGTCAGAGATTTTTATATATATGCAGACATGATACATATTACTTATACAATTTATACTCTTATCAGTGCAGATTTATTGCAGCCCGGAGGACCGGGCTGCTATATACATATAAGATTAAGTGTTGGTGTATGGGAATTGGGGTGGGAGTAGTTATTAAGAATGAAAGGTTTTCTAAACATTGAAAAGATTGTTAATCAGAATGTTCTTTCAGTTTATGAATTACGAGATAAATATATATATTTACTTCCATAAAGTGAATCTGTAAAAATATATACGTTTTCCATATTTAATATATAAAGTTGGTTATCATATACTATCAAAAAAAGACAGGTCCCCCTTTTTAGAACATCGAATTTTACTTCTCGGATAAAAGTGTACTCCGCACACTTCGTGTTTTATATTCTAAAATTATAAATTAATACATTTTTAAATATAGGTGATGCGTGTGTCTAACTTCAATTTATATTTTATGCAGCCAACATTTACTTGAGGAATTGATCAAGTTTAAAATGTTATGCGACTACAAGTTTTCAAAATATTTGCGACTATCGTCTCCATCAATTAGACGCATGCCTTTTCACACATATCGAAAGCGGTTTGATGATCGAGACTGATTTTCATTGTTTACTTTATATATTTCCGGGCGACAATTGATGGTTACATCAATGTTTTCTTGTTCATTGTATGTACGAGGGCTGGTCAATAAATAATGTCCTGAACTGTATGACATGCAATACAGATATCATATGATATTAAGCTTGACTTTTTCGCAATATTGAATCTTGTATATCCATGCACTGCTCTCTCCCACTATGAACACGTAGTCATCAACTGCGTTCATAGGACTATAGACACAACTGATCCTTCTGTGAGTGCAATTGCTCTATCACACTCGTGTAGAACAATATCTACTACAGTTATAGACCGTGTTGAGAAGTATATATATGAAATGTTTCGTAAGAGGAATAAAAATAAGTTTTTAATAATATTCTTTGAAAAAAAAATCATAATATTTAAAATTGCTGATTTATATCTTTAAAAATTCAATTTTGGTCAATGTATTTAATTGTATAATAAAACTTTTTAAAATTTTAGAGAACTGCCATATTTTTATTTTATCGTATCATGCATATTTGTACAAAGAACGATACCTCTTCACACTTGGGTAATAACATTCAGAAAGAGAAAATTTCTTTAACTAGTGTATCTATTTCAATAATGATTTCAGCTATTTAAAATAAATAGAAAAACTAAAAAAAAATCATAGAAAAGCATTCTGGAGTAATAATCATTATAAAAGCATGCTCATTTTTCATCATTGATTTTTGTCAGAGGTTTTTAATAACGTTGATCGATGACGTCACAACTGGATCAAAACAAAAATGTGATGACGGCGCTGCTTGTCTCCAGATAACTGTGTTTGAAAGGGAAATACTTTATAAATTGTTTGTGATTTATTAGAGAAAAGAAGCAATGATTTTAAGTTTTTCTTTACTGAAGACAAGAAGCTGCGTCCTTATGTAAGACAGGATTTCCTCTGATATTCTTGAACAAAATCAAAGAATGCAAATATAAGTAATATACTACGATTATTCAGTGAACATGGCATAATGAATAGCAATAGCTCTGCTAGCGCGCAACATGGAATATGCCAGCAGAGCAATTGCTATTCATAACGCTATGTTCAGTGAATAACGTTGTTTATTTCTTAAATAACAATTTTTGTGACCAGTTTTCATCAAATAGTTTCATTGTGAGAAGCTGGAAAACAAGGGCTATTCGAGACACTGCATCTATAATGAATGGTAAAGAATCAGTAAACTAGAGTGAAAATAAACGCTTCGTTCAAGCTGCTGTGAAACACGTTAAGAATCCCAAAGAATTATTCAATGAAATATGTAACATTTACGGTACCAATGTCTGTTTTATAGACAAATGAGTAGGTGGATTTAAATGATATAATTTTTTTATAGTGGGCATCAAATATGGGCACCGTCCTTGCCAACAAAATTTATAACAACTCATGTACTGTTTGCCAATTTTCAACAAATAATCAATGATGATGAATGATTGACTTTACGACACATAGAAAATTGATAGACATCATATCGGAAGTAGTTCACACCGTTTAATCAAACGTTTGACAGTAAAAAAGCTTGGTACTTAAAGGTAACCCTACGTTTTGAAAAATGAGTGAAAACGACAGCGTGTAAGAATATCTAAACAATTATTTTAAAAAAAATTGAAAAATTGTAGTTATCCAAGTTTGTTTGAAATTCAAACAGATAATGAAACTTGGATTTATTGCTTAAAACCCTCAAAACAAAATTTACAAAAAGATGTATTTGACAAAAATAGCAAAAGTCTGAGAAGAGCAAGAATTGCAAGAGCACGAAGACAGTTTTATATTCAATTTTTTTTTAAATATTAGAAGTCTTGTTAAAATTCGTATTCGGGGATGCAGATTAATTTTAGGAAGAGTCTAGAACAGGGGCGTAGCAACAAGGGGGGCCTGGTCCCCCACTTTTCCCCCAACCTTATTTGTACTATAGGAAATGTTAATTGAAAGCCTGGTTGCCCCCCCCCCCCCCCCCCTTTTAGTGATGTTCTGAAAATGTAGTATTAAAATTGGTACTTAATGTAGTTGACACTGAGAAAAAGAGTTTACCTACCCTCGACATGGGTTTTAATTAATAGAGAATATTAAGTTAAATTATTAAAGACTAAATCATTTAAAAGCGTCTTTTGCTTCTTTCTGAGCACCGAGGACAGTATTTATTGAACAGCCCTCGTAAAAATTAAATTTCTAAAAATCATTTTTTTTCAGATAGATTTTATCATGTGCTAATTTCTGTGACATATTATCGCAAATCACATAGCCTTCTTGTACATCTATAAAATTAAAAAAATAGATGTGAGAGAGAGAGAGGGAGAGAGAGAGAGAGAGAGAGGGAGAGAAAGAGAGTTAATATTAACAAACTTTTCGGGTCAATTGCAGGTTTGTTGTTTTTCTGTTTTCAAATTTTAACAAAAAATAAAATTAGAGAGAATTTTAGCAAAAAAAATATAATAAACAGTTTGCATTTTCTAACATGAATATAGTTGGACTTATAATCTCTAAAGACTTAATGCATGACTAAAATATTTTCAGCTATTTATTTAGATAATAAAGAGGAAAACCTTTTTTCAATTTCATAGTTTTATTTTATAATGCGTGTTAATTTAGCAGTCAAGTGTAGCGTGCAGGTACACGTAGCCTATAAACTTTTCAATGTGCCCATAACCTAAATCGTAATCTTAATCATGCAGCCTGAAAGAAAAGAAATTTAAAAAATATATACACTGTAAATGCAATATTTGGTTCATAACTGCCGATTGGCTTCTACATGTTTATCTTTCTCCCATTTTAGATTATAATTTCTAAATTAAATGGATAATTAAAAATCGTAACTGAAATTCATTCTGATTTTTTTTTTATCGAAATAACGACTAAATGTGTAGGCTACTGATATTTATTTGATAGCAAATTAATTAATAAATTATTAAAAAATAAACACCTCAGATAATTTATTTTTCGTCCGCAAAATTCATTTAAAAATCAAGAACCCCATTCATATTTCTACGTATCTCTTTTTATTTATTTATTTTAATAGGTTAATTATGCTGTCTATTCATTTCAGTTAACGTTTCTTCTTGATTCATGTGAATAAATGTAGCTCATACGCATGCGTAGCTTCCATTACTAAGTTAGTTTTTTCTACCTTTTACTGAAGAGTTCCTGTCGTAAGTTACGAGAAACTATACGAGTACAGCTTCGTTTACGGGGGGAGGTACGACCTTTAGTAAAACGCTATCTACGCACACGTAAATTCAGTCGTAAAGTCTACGTTTGCGTCTACGTCTACGGCATAATTTACGACTTTTAGTAAAACTCGGTACAGGCCCCCAGTCAAGGGGTGGTGGTGTACCAACTGCGTCAGTGTGCCAACCACTTCATGTCTGTGTACGAGAGTCACAAACAACACCTCCGAAAACTACTGAGTCTGGCTGACCTTAGTACAGACGACCTCAAACAGGTAAAGACACAAACAACACCTCCGTAAACTACAGAGTCTGACTGACCTTAGTACAGACGACCTCAAACAGGTAAAGACACAAACAACACCTCCGTAAACTACAGAGTATGACTGACCTTAGTACAGACGACCTCAAACAGGTAAAGACACAAACAACATCTCCGTAAACTACAGAGTCTGACTGACCTTAGTACAGACGACCTCAAAAAGGTAAAGACACAAACAACATCTCCGTAAACTACAGAGTCAGGCTGACCTTAGTACAGACGACCTCAAACAGGTAAAGACACAAACAACAGCTCCGTAAACTACAGAGTCTGGCTGACCTTAGTACAGATGACTTCAAACAGGTACAGAGAAAAAAAAATAAAACTGAATTATACAAAGGAAATGATTGATTAATTGATTGATTGTATACTGTTTAACGTCCCGCTACAAAGGAAATGATATCAGAAAAGGTTGTAAGTTTTAGTCACTGTTGTTTAGATTATATATCATTTCGATACTGTTTTTGTATGTATGATGTATTTAATCTGTTTATGTTTAGTTTTCTGGAGTAGAAGAGAAGCTCACATCTCATCAGAGACAGAAACTTGCTAAAACTCGCTTCACCAAAATCGTGCAATACAGGGAGGAACAACTGCAGTACTTTGCTTGTATCCTTTGAGCATGTTTAAGGAAATGTAAATTTTTTGTTTGAAGTTGAAGTCAGTTTTTTTATTTGGCGATGACTGTACATTTTTAAACATGGGGATAACTAGAAACATTGAAAAACAAGAACAGAAAACATAAATCGTAGTAATCTCCCTTGACTGTGCTGCAGACATATTGGAGAACTGTCTGTTTATGTTGTGGCGCCACCTAGAGTATTATCTCATTCACTGCGTTCCTGTCAATCAGCAGACATCTACGTACCCGAGTCAGAATCGCAGACACACTCAACTCAGGAGGCTTCAAGGTTAGACAGGCTGTTTATATCTCATGTCTTTTTATGTGGTACAAAGTAGTTTATGCCTTATCAGCCTTTTTTTGTCTCAGTGAAATGAGTATTGTATGCATGGAAATTTGACCTCCAATTTTATTTTATGCCTTCTTTACAAGTGTGAGAATTAAAAATTGGGCGAATTTAAGAAACAGGCATGACTTAGTTTGGGTGAATTTTTTAATGTAAAAGAGGGCAAAAAATAAAAACCAAATGAAAATGACGTTGTGTACAATATTGCAATTTTTTTTATCTCGGTGCATAATGCACTTCTAGGTAGTGATTTCAGATTAGTTATTCTTTTATTTTTCACAGATTTGACAGGAATTTCCCACTCATCATTTGGAGAATCTGATGCAGACTCTTTACCAGACATAGACAGACAGCTTTTGATGGGGGTGACTAGTGACGATATAGAGACACTGAAGCAGACAGCAAACTCTGCCATACATGACTCAATCCTCAAAAAGATACAAAAGATTGACCAGGTAAAATACAGTACTCACTCCTCAAAAAGATACAAAAGATTGACCAGGTAAAATACAGCACTCACTCCTCAGAAAGATACAAAAGATTGACCAGGTAGAGATCGAAAGGATAGATGATGATTCCATGTGTGAAAAAAACTATACAAAAATTAAAGAAAAAATTAATTCATACCTCTCCCACGGTTAACATTTAAAAAAATGGTTCACCCCCCTCCAGCACAACCACTACCGTAGTTCACCTTTCACCCACAACCAAGTGTTTCAGCCAAACCTTTTCCCTGGCCCATCTCAAGATAATATTAGTTACATAGTCTTTTAATGACAGGTATGGGATGATACCTGGTTAGTTAATTTCATACCTGGCGAGGCGGAGCTGAGTCAGGTATGAAATGTACTAACCAGGCATCATCCCATACCCTGTCACTAAAAGACTATATAACGAATTTACCTCACCGATGAAACATTTACGTTTTATCTGTGGTTTGTAAATGATTTTCTCTGCTAAATGCTTCATCACGCTTATACTGTGCCTATTATTATGTCATGTTATGTTTGTTACGTAATACATCGACTGCGTATAGATTTACAACTGACCGGGTATAAGTAATACACCGCTTTCACGTGACAGACTTTAACCAATCGTAAGCCAGGATTTCATGGAAAAATCAACAGAGGTGGGGTAAAGTTCAAATACGTATACGCCTTCCCAACTTTCACCTTGATAGTGGTTCATCTATTCTTCCATGGTCCACATTTAACTGTCTCCCACAGCCATAAGTAAGAATCGTTTGTCCATCCCTTTCCTTCAGCCTGCCTTAAAATGGGTGTAATGTTTTATGAGATTAAATGATGATTAATGGATATTTGCTTAATATCCTATGGAACATTAAAATTAGCAGATTTCATCCCATAATAGAGTACAACTTGATCCAGATGGCATTATATATACATGTAACACTGAATACTTTAAAATGAGAAATACAATATACTTTTATTGAGCTATGCTTAATTCATCACCTCACTATGAAACATATCTTTGGATTTATATAAACCATTGTTTGTTTAGGAATACTGTAAGTCCAGGACCCACTACAGCTTTGTGGAGGCCCTCATAAGGAGAGTAAGAAGACTATTGAGGCTCAACACGGGGAGCTGATAAGTTATAAAAACAGACACAGCTGCCTCACTATAGTGAAATGATTGTTGTCTATAAAATTTGATACAACTTATTAATATTTAGTTCTAATGACAGTGGACTTATTTAGCTGACATCCCATGGAACTTGACGCATTAATATCTGTTGAAATCATTTTTGACCATGTATTAAAGATGTATGTGAAATAAAATGAAAACATCTACAATAAAGGTTTTCTGAATCAGTTTTCTCATCTTTGTTTTGGGTTAAATATACAGGCAAACCTTGTTATCATGCACTCTATGAGTCCCAATTAATATTTATCTTAGTCATTCATGAAGAAACATGCAAATAAAGTGGTTAATTAATTTATCTTGGTCAATTAAGGTTCGTAAATAAATAACATATACATGTAACTAGATTAAAAGGATGCAGATTTATTTAAGATCAAAAGCCATATTATTCTATCTGTATCAAAATAACTGAATAGTATAATCACAACTCTTCAGTGTGCAGTACATGAAACAGGGTCAACATGAAAAAAAGTGAACATGTAACATAATTTTTCTTTCTTCACGCTGGCAAATATACATAGTACTCATTAAGAAATATTGAACTTTTCTTCCAATGTAACGTTAATACATTGAGAAATCATTTCAACCTTTAATTAGAAGAATTCTGAAACAATATTATTATTAATAATTTTTTATTTATATATTATACCTTATTGATAATAGCATTGAAAATATTTTCACACACACACATGAACAATAGAATTTGAATTAAACTACATCTTGTTATTTTGGCTACTGGAAAAATTTCTCTCACAAACATGTCATTATTTAAAACACATTGATTACATGTATTTGATTTTCTTCACTTTACAACTGCTCGACTCAGCCACAAAGAGGTTGTCTCTGGTGTCTACACATAAACCCCATGGATATACAAGATCAAAGTTATCAATGTAACGGAGGAACTGTCCGTCCTGATCTAGGATGTGAATACAATTGTTGTCACTGTCTGCTGTCAGGATCTGACTCTTGCTGTCCGTTGTGATGCCGACTGGTCTAAATGATCCCTTGGTAGTAGAGGGATGACCAGTGTATCTAAATCGGAGTTTTCCTGCCTGATTAACCACCACTACTGCACGGGCTCTGTAGTCAGCAACACAGATATCCAGGTTCCTGTTCTCACTAGTGTATTTAATTCTGTTAAAGTAATCATTTGAATACAGAGGTTTACCTTCACTATCAAACTGAATGGTTTGTTTCTCAGTGGAGCCAGAGTAACGGACAACTTTTGATTGTTTATAATCATTACTGAGCATGGTAACCAGGAGGTCACCAGAGGAGGTACTACAGACATTTAAAGGTATCCACCCCTGTAGTCTGATCACTTCCTGTATCTTTTTATTCTTCACTATATTTACAGTTATTGTCTTAGAGTCAGTATAAACTAGATCTCCACCTCTTGTCACTGCTATGTCACATGGTATGTTCCCAGACTTGGATTGAATTGACTTTAGTAGTTTGCCCTGGAGGTTGTAGAGTTTCATGATTGTGTCGTCTCCACGTGTCCAGATTTCTTCATCACTGATACAGGTAACACTGTATAGTGATTTATACCCAGTGTCTATTGTGGTGATGAGCTCTGGTTCATCAAGCAGTGGTTTGACTGGAGGACAAGACACAGCTTCTTGTGTCTTCATTGTGTAGCCATGTTCTTCTGTTGTAATGGATAATGCTGACAGAGAACCAAACATTTGATGGAGCTTTTCTGTGTTGATCGGATGGGGAGAGAAACTTGGTGTTGAAACCTTGATTTTAGGAGGTAAACTTCTGAATTCAGCATTTCTGGTTTTGTATGTAGAGGCTAGGGAGACATCATTTGAATGTATTAATTTCTTCAGATCATATATGCACTGTTTTACATCATAAGTAATCTTCTTGATTTCTTTTTCCTGTTTATTTAGAGCAGCCAGGTGTTTAGTTTTCATCTCATCAATTTCAGATTTCTTTTTATTGACAATGATGTATATTTCTCTGCGCCAGTCTTCTCCTTGTTTGGTGACAGCTGTTGTCAGTTTCTCATAATGTTTTTCCAAATTGAATTTTTCAGAATTTAAATCTGATGCTATTTCTTCATATGTTGGATGTATTCTGTTTTCTAATTCTTTCAAATCCTTGTTCAAAATTTCTTGAACGAAGCTGGGTTTCTGTAAGATATCTGTAAATGTATGCCCATGATGTTTATCAGAGGATATGCAGGTAGAACAGAGAGGAATGTCACATTTCTCACAGTAGAGTTCACAATGTTTCTGAGTGTGGTATGGGCATTTTGGGTAGTTAACGTTAGGCGTAGATTTTCTGTGTTTGTATGGCACAACTTTGTGTCTTTTAGATGAATCAGAGAGATGCTCCCCTACACAGGCCTTACACAGGTTAATCTGACAAAGTTCGCAATGACTCTGTAATGCAGCTGTTTGACACAGGTCACAGAGGAGAAGTACTTGAGCTCTGTCCAGGGGGTCCATCACTGGGGGTCAAAAAATCAGATGACCCTGTATAAAGTAAATGAACCATGGATCACTGACTACAGAGATTTACACAATTTTACACAAATACAGTAGAAGGGTTTTGGTTTGTTTAATTGTCGGTAAAGAAGAAAAGGAAGGATGAATTTGTACATGTGTAGCTAAAAAATTCTGTGTAATCTTTCCTTATGTTTGTATTAATTATTATTTGGAAGAAAATGTTAATACTTTACAACAGCCAAAACAATTTTTATTTGCAATCAGTATGATCTAAAGTGGCCCTCTCATGAATTTTAGTAAATGTATTACATGTGCACTAGACTTGAGATCAGTATATATGAAAAGGTCTTATACACTGTAACATGTTAAAATGTTAAATCTTAAATATTATCTTGTCTCACCTCAACATCTTAAAATGGCTTCCCTGATAATTCCGTACATCACAATTTACTTCCTTGTCTTCGTTCTAAAGTTTTACCTGTTACCAGGTCACATGATTTAAATACCTGAAATATTTATATCCACAGGAGTTTGCGTACCTATCAATTTTACCGGAAATAAAAAATACGTAATACCTATAATAATGTGATATTATTATAGGTATTACGTATTTTTTTTTATTTCCTGAAATTTTCGGTAAAATTGACAGGCACGCGAACTCCTGTGTTTATATCAGACGTAATAGATTTAAATGAAGGGGTGGAATTTACTATAATTGTATGGTTCTTAAACCCATGCACATGATGTTTAGAATCATCCTATCCCCCTCTCCAGCTGTGTGTCCGTAATATTTTTGTCTGTATGGAAAATCTTTGAAATATTTTCATCTCTAAGTTTTTTAGAAGAAAATATTTAATATGTATTATTTTATGCGAACTAGTGCACCTGGTATTTTCAGGTCATTTTTAGTAAGTTTTAACAAAGGATGACTGCACTTAAGAATATGCGAAATTGGCGACAAAATACACAAAAAAAGCATTTTCTTTAAATTGCAGTAAAAGGCAACATCTTATCTATAAATTAATGTTATATTACATTTTATCTAATCTGAGTAAATTTCGAATCCATTTTGGGAAAACACGTTCGATTCGTATTTTACAGATATATATATCAAATATTTCTTCATCTGCAATATAAGATAAAACACTCTTAAAGCCTTTATTGTGCAACGAATCCAAAAAAAAAAAAAAATGCAAAACCAAGGGCTTTTTATAAATCTTTATACTTGTATAAAAAAGGAATTTAAGTAGTTTCTGGTTGCTTATACTAGCTTCTTCAGCCTGAGCTTGAATCAATTTTGTGTAAAAAATATGAACTGGTCATGTTTTAAGGTCAACATAAACCTTTTTGAGAAACAAAATGTACTAATGAATTTATCACAATATAATTATTAAGTTTTTAAGGTTATCTTCTTTACTCCTTGACATCAATCAGCAAAACTGCTGGCATGATTGTAATTAGCATTGAACCCTTTACCAAAATTATAATATTTTTGGCCCCAGGGTCAGGGGTTTTGGTGTTTAGGACGGGTCTCTTATGATCTTATGGTAAAAAGGTATTTATTCTTTGAAAACATTCTCCTCTGCTCCTGAGCATTATGAAAATAAACTAGATGCATAGTTATAATAAAGAAGATTGCCATTACCAGATTGTGATTTTAAAGGCCCCGAGATCAATATATAAATTTTTCTAGAAATCAAACATGTCATTATGCATGTATACATATAAACATCACAATTTAGAGGTAAGCAGGTTAGTGGATAATTTTGCATAAACTCTATAATTAAAATTCGAAATTCTCTAATCATTACTTGAAAAAAGTGTACATTCAACATGTTCAATGTATTATGCTTTTGACTGTTGACTAATCTTTAAATTATTCAAAATTCAATTTCCACTGTTATCAGGTACTTGTAAAAGTAGTATAGAGTTTAACAGTTTAAATGTTTGACTATAATGAATTACGAAGATTGATTTCTTTAATCATTGTCTGGGCATACATGTATACTACATGTTGATTGTTGACATTATTATGATTTTTACAGAGATGAAGCCGGTGTTGATACAGAGGAGGACTTCCTGCCCAGCCCCATGGCCCGCTATCGTCAACTTCTCTTTGCCGCCCTCAAATTCGGTCTGGCCAAGCTGACCTCACTGGGCATAGAAAACCAGGACTGTGGAAATCAGGTGAATATCTTCTACAGCTATATTTGTTTAATGCAGAGCCCCTTGGACCCATAATAGTATTTAGATACCTCCCTTGAAAGTCTTCATATAAAGTAGAATTTAACATGTTTTGATCTATGGGTATGGGTGTTCATAGGCAATTTACATGTACTTCTAGACATAATTTCGTAGGTTACTTAAAGATAGATTAGAATCGAGTAATTGATACGTATACATTTAAAAAAATATTTTAATCCACGGATGTAATTTTATGGGTAAGGGTGAACCTCCAAATACACAAATAACAGACCCCACAAATATTTTACAGAATGAATAACCATTCCATGCTGTTACACGTGATGCAGTTTATCTTATTTCAGGGAGAAGTTTTCCACGGAATTCTGCGAGACAGACAGCCCAGTTTAAGTCTTCCTGCTCTACTTGAACTAGCTCTAACTACAGCGGTACTGACACGAGCTAACTCCAGAGGTTAATACTGTTATGTTTGTGCATTTGTGGAAGCAGATTCTGTTCATTATGAAATTTTCACTGGTAATATTTTTATCACAAGTTTCCTTAAAAATTGTTCAAACTATGTGTGTACACTGTATCTTCATTTCTAATGTTCTACAAAACAGGCATTCCAGATGCGGAATTAGATGACCTTGACCCAGCTGGAATAGAGTTGAAAGGTCAAAAGGTCAGGATTGAGAGACAAATGTTGGCATTGATGCCAAAGTACTGTATATCTGAGAGAGTCAACAAACAACTCAAGTTACTGGAGTCTGACGAGTCAACTCGCGGGAAGGACTTAAGTTCAGAACTCACGTTGGTATTTTTAGAAGTGTCCTCCAATGTGACCTCCTATTGTCGAGCTGTCATCTCAACCTCAGGTAAAACAACAAATTTAAGATTTGTTTAAATTTGATTTTGTCAGATTGATCAATTAAGTGTTGATAAACCTGTCAGAACTGCCAAAAAAAAAAATTGAAGTTGTAAATCTTTCACTTTAAATTTATGTGTGTCAGGAGATAGGTCATATCGGGAAAAAAAAGCAGGTAATGGAATTGTTATTTTTATTCTTTATCAGAAGCATTTACCATATTGCAAATGTTAAGTAATATCAGCATCAAGAAAACATATTGTAACTATCTGTAATGTCAGATTTTTTTTCATCAATTTATAGGTCCATCCTCTCAGTTTTCTCGAGTTCTGTTCCGGCCGAGTCTGGATGAAGCCCTTGCTAGAGATCTAGGAAGTACTGACGGTAAGTTATTCATAGCACTAGAGGTCAGAGGTCAATAAACTGTATTATTATATAGCTAATAAATAGTCTCTAAAAAAACTACCAAAAATCTAGAGAATTTTAGCGTTCAATATCTTATCATTTTAATGAAATTTATATACGTATATGAGTATGCCCGTAACATTCCTAATATGTGCGTTCAATATCGAACGCCCAGTTTTAAACAGTAAAAATCGCTTGGTCAATTTTCAGACCTAAATTAAAAAAAGAAAGTGGCATCTAGGTAAGATGTGTTTATTTTTTACACAAAAAAGAAATTATTTATTAAAAAAATAGTATACATTTATTAGACCCATTTAATCCTGAATAAGCAAATCATAATGCTCGGTAGGGTCATCGGAATGATGAGATATTGAACATTTTCAGGGCAGGCGTTAATTTGAATACCAATATTAAAAAATCATTAATTTGTGTTTTTTTTATTTGGAATAATTATTATGAATTATGAGGAAATGTTTTAGCTACATGATATAGGAGTTATTGAACTTATATTGGTGAATATTGGCACTCAGCTGTACAAATGCACTCGTAAGCTCATGCATTTGTACAGCCAACTTGTGCCAATATTAACCGATATAAGTTCAATTATACATATATTACATGGCTTCGAGGACAGCATACCAGTTTATAACATTTTTTAAGAAGTTTTCCCATTATATCACAAATGTAATATTTTTATCCATATGCCCTGAAAAACTGCCGAATCACGCCGGATACAGCTATGTTCCCCGGAAACAGTTATGTTGCCCTCCCGAACACAGTTATTCCAATGTTTATGTAATTTTGTTATTTTTTGTTTACTAACATGGCTGTTATTTGAGGACCCCATTGGAAATAAGCTTTTTTTAATAAGGCTTTTATCGGCTATCCTTAGTTAAAACATTTTTGTTATGTAATCCTTTGTGTTTTTAGTACATTATATAGCATAATAGATTTGGATATCTAAAACCTGTACATTAAGTCACCTGTAACTGTACATTAAGTTGGCAAAACTCTCAATTCTTAACTTAATCTACAGCTTTTTGTCAATTTAATGTACAATTACAGGTAACTTAATGTACAGATTTGAATATTGAAAACAAAACATAAAATGCAAAATACTTCCTGAAATTCATTAGTACTAAAAACAGGCAACTAAATTTTCAATTTAATACACGATTATGCATAAATTTCAAACATTTGTATATGAATTGTTCAACAGTGTATCATTTTTGGAAATGAAAAATCCAATGGAAAAAAGACACATATGTAATATCCTGATGCGTAATAATTTTAGAACATCCGCATCCAGAATTTTTTTCATTAATGAACAAACATCTTATCCTCTTCACAACATTTGCCTAAGATGAATGCTAAACGTACTAGATCCATTCCATGAATGTTTAAAAATACATCCTACAACAATTTAAATTTTAAAAGGGAAAGGCATATTTCCTGATGAAATGATAACCTCACTCGATGCACTGCAGGTGGAATCATTTTTGAGACATGGATCACAAATTTTCATCTTTTTCATACACTTGCCGTTATTTGAATCCCCATATGTATTTCGATGAATTATTTCATTTATTCTCTGCTACTAATCATTGTTAGTTCAATTGTAGAATCAAACTGTAATAGACTTGTGGCCCGTTTTCTCTGTCATTACACTGTACATAATGTAGCTGTTCCGCAGTCTCAGCTTTATACAAGCGGGTTGCCGCTGTTGTTCTAAAAGAATGTTTCGTGTAGTTTCCATTAAATCCTGATTGTTCACAAAGATTTTTTGTCACTTGAACACTAACTTCAGCTTCTGCATACCTACAGGCTTCTGCTTGTGTCTACCTACTTTTTAGTATTTACCGACCTTTGTTCTGTATTTTTGGAGAAATATGTATTACTTTCTCCATCCGATGAGGACATCTTCATTCATGAAGCCTTACATGGGAAGTAGTCAGAAATCAAGTGAGCTATCATTGAAATTCAAATTAACCAGGCACTGTCTACTAAGTTAAACAATACAGCTATTGTTTTCACTCCTCACTCTCTGGACAATCAAGTGTGTAACGTTATCATAGCAAATATATCATCATCACCTGGGACAGTTTATTAAGTTAACAATAGAGAAAATGTTTTAAGTAGGATAAAGTCCTCAAACTGTCCATTCTGTGAGAGAAAAAACTATTCTCGGCCCTTCGGGCCTCGAACAGCTTTTTCTCTCACAGAATGGACAGTTTTTGGACTTTCTCCTTTACGTAATATCTATCATCTGTATTTAATAATAATTACATATATATGTTAAATTAGATCTTCCTTAAGTAGCATAGTGCTGAGATAATGTGTGTGTATTTCTTTTTTCTAGTAGTATGCTAGTCTGTAATGTTTTAATATGTGAATCATGACATTATGTTCCCTCGCGTGCAATCATTCCGCATATTAATTACGTCGGGTTCGGAATTCACAGAGGCAGTTGCTAAGCAAACGTAAACAGTTCCGCGAAAGTTAAAAGTCGAGACAACGTCAGCGATTTGTTGATTTGAATTCAGAGGAATAAAATTATTTAATTGAGGAGAAAAATTCTTTTAATACAACAAAAGTTATCAACAGAAGTGCCAGCATACTGAAAACATTCTGCTATGAAATAGGACGGGATATTTCGGAATTATACTCAACGTCCATATACATGTGTACATAGTGTTCAATAAATATGTTCGATGATCGATTTGGCTTCAATGCTTAAAAATGTTATATGCCATATATTACATGGCTTAATTCTCGGGCAGCAATACCAGAATGAATATTTGCCCCTCGGTGACAGGAAAGCCCTGGAGTGATATGTCGCCCTCTGCCTGCGGCATCGGGCGATGTAACACTCCAGGGCTTTCCTGTCAGCTTGGGGCAAATATTCTGGTACGCTGCCCTCGAAGCCATGTAATATATGTATAATATAACATTTTTAAAGAAGTTTTCCCATTATATCACAAATATAATATTTTTATCCATATGCCCTGAAAAACTGCCGAATTACGCCGGATATAGTTATGTTCCACCGGAAACAGTTATGTTGCCCTTCCGAGCACAGTTATGTTCCCTCGCGTGCAATCATTCTGCTAGAGATTGCCACTTTTCTTAAGGATTAAGAATAAAGTTAAAATTTGTGAAAGTGCAAGGATGTGTCAATCAAACCCGCCAAAAAATTTAAAGTTTTAATAACTTTTAAATGAAATAAGATTTTTAATTAATTTTTGTGTGAAATGCTATTAAAATATATAATTCGTGATATTATACAGAAAAAATGAGAAAATATTAACTTCAAATCTGTGTCCAAGTACCTTTAAAACTGAAAGGACAGATAATGATTTCAAATAAAGGGAGAGAGTCTAGGAGAAATTTAACAAAAATGAAAGAAGAAAATGCTTAGCAATCTCATTCCACATTTTAAAGTGGGCCATTGAACAAGTTTTTTCACTTCTCCTGCAGCCCAATGCAAAACATGATTGATTCACCCATCTCTTACAGCTCACTATGAAGGATACACCAAAAATTTTTACAAGGTTTTTGTCAATTTTGAGATTAAAAATTTGGCCAAGAAAATGAAGTTGTTTCACTGCCTTATAATTCATGAAAAATTCTTGCTATTTATTAAATGGTTTTCTAATTATTTAACAATAATCTAAAATAAACACTATCACATCTGAAACACTACACACTATCCACTCTGCTTTTAAAGGAGGGTTATAAATATACTTTAAATGAGCCATACTTATTTATAATCTGGGGTCAAGGACCCACTACAGCTTTGAGGAGGCCCTCATAAGGAAAGAAAGAAGACTATTAATTGAGGCTCAACACAGGGAGCTGACAAGTTATTAAAAACAGACACAGGCGACCACGTAATACTATAGTGAAATGATTGATGTTATCTATAAATATGACTAAAAATGACATTCAGGAAAATGTACTGTCATCATGGAACGATTTTATTATTAATTGCTACTGGTAGTGGACTATTTGAGCCAATATCGCATGGAATTTGACCTACTAATATATGTTGATTAATTTTTGTCCCCCGGTTTCGCGAAAGCGAGGGAACATTAAATCTTATTTGTCTGTCCGTCAGTCTGTCTAGCTGTCCGTCTTTTTGTCTGTCTGTAACGCTTTCGTTTCTACACGATATCTCGAGAACCCTTTGAGCTTTCGCAATGAAATTTTGCATAGCAACTCCCTATGGACTAAAGGAGAACCCAATTGATTTTGAGGCCAAAAGGTCAAAGTTCAAGGTCGTAAATTTATACATTCTGTCTGTATGAAACACTATCATCTCCGGGAGATATTTCAAGAAGATTTTGAACTTTGCAATGTAATTTTATACCAAAATTCCTTAGGACATCTTTCACCCCTCTCAAAGTGTCCCGCCTCGTTTGTTTTATTAGTATTTATTGTATTACATGTCGCTATTTTTAGCACAGGGGCATAAGGAGAGTTATTGCAGCCCGGAGGACCGGGCTGCTCTATACATGTAAGTTTTAGTGTTGGTGTATGGGGATTAGGGTGGGAGTAGTTATGTAGAATTAAAGGTTTTCTAAACATTGAAAAGATTGTTAATCAGAATGTTCTTTCCGTTTATAAATTACGAGATACATAATATATTTACTTCCATAAAGTTTATCTGTAAAAATGTATATATTTTTCATATCTGATATATAAAGTTACTTATCATTTACTATCGAAACAACGACAGGTCCCGTTTTTTAGAACATCGAATTTTACTTCTCGGATTTAAACGTACTCTGCACAGTTCGTGTTTTGTATTCCAAAATTGAAAATTAATACATTTTTAAATATAAATGATGCGTGTATCTAACTTCAATTTATATTTTATGCAGCCAACATTTACTTGAGGAATTGATCGAGTTTAAAATGGTATCGTTTTTGATTGATTTTTATCCGACTACAAGTTTTTAAAAATATTTGCGACTATCGTCTCCATCAATTAGACGCATGTCTTTTTACACATATC